CTCCGAGACAGCATGTCTGCTCCTTGGTTCAGCCTGCCCGGTATATGCGCTGCTCTCAGCGAGCGCAAGTTGAGCTGAGCCCATTCCAAGAGGCGCTCCACTAGTGTTCCGTTTGTCCAGTAGACGAGTAGGCTCGCCCGGCAAGAGCCGGGGTCGCCCTACACGGCTTGGACGGGTGGGTCACCTTTGCCTTCTAGCCGATGGCCGTGGGCGGGCAGAGATGCGCGGCCACTGACTCATCCAGGGGAGGCAGTCTGTCGTAACCTTTTTCTTCATCGCTGTCGACTGATGTGAGGGTGGACGAAGATGAGGCACGAAGGCGGGCCGAGTAGGGGGCACGCCAAGACCTGGTGATCTCGTCGTGGACCCCCGGAAAGAATGGTGAAGCTCGTTGTCGGGGGGCCTGACTGCGCCCCGGCAAGAACCACTCATCCAGGCGGCTGCGGGTGGGCTCCTCTGGCGGAGACTACTCCAAACCCAGCTCCTTCACAGCTTTAGACAGGACACGGAAAAGCTAGGCGAATGGCAGAGCAGGAAGGGGTCTCTTGATCCGCTGCGAGGCTTGTTCACGGCGAAGGCTTCGTAGTCTCGTAGAGCAAAGATCTAGTAGTCGTCGCTGAAGGAGAATAATCTGAGGATCCTATGGCGATGTGCTGCTTATATAGCCAGATGACCCCGCCCATTCTGGTGGGCTTTACCACCATAGGCTCATGCAGCTCCGCTGCCGAGCCATTGGTTTGTTTTTTGGCCGTGCAGTTACACTGCGTTATTGAAAGGCTTCAGTCATCAGAGAAAAAGGAGGTTTCCCCAAGCGTCTTAAACAGACGCAGTACGAGTGAAGTATCAATAGGGAACGATATTGAGCAATCCAGGCACAATCATCTACTAGGTAATTGTGGAGCATTTAACACATGGCATAGTCTCAGCATAAGCAGACCATGCCTGAGGCTGACAGTGGGTCATAATGATGTCCAAAGTGTCTTAAATATGCGATTTACATGAACAGCTCAGTGGGGAGAGTTGTACTGAAGTTTCCCAAGCAGAAATATAAATATAAATATATATATATATATATATATATATATATATATATATATATTGTAGCGAATTTTAGCTCAATATATATAGACTGGAGCTTAAGAGACTTTTAACTTTTAAATGCTGGTGTGTATATATGTATCTGTATAAATAGAATAACACTAATAAAATGCATTGTATAATTATATAATATTTTTTAAATATTATATAATAATAAAATAATATAACTCACTTTACTTCACATAGAAGCACACCTATTTTTCATTCTCATTCATAAACAACTCCTTGGTTACCTTATACTTTATGTTAGTAAGTGAAAGCATTTAAATGTAAATGTAAAAAGGAACTAAATTTTGCTACATCTAAGTGTGACATCTACACTTCAAAGTGGACACTCTGAGTAATTGATATCTATGTTTTCTGAATGAGCTTCCACTCATTTGAATCACCCCCGGCAGCACTCTCTAGAGAATACAGATGCCCAGTGCACAACTTTGATATCTGCTTATTTAGCCCATATCAAAGAGCAGAAATCAAAGAACTGCTTTTTATTTCATAGTTTGCTATTTCCTTTGAGAGCAGGCTATAGTGTGTACAATATAAATTAGTGTTAAACAAACAGCATTTTCTTTGTGCAGCAGTGGTCAGTTTACAGGAAGCGGAATGTATGGGTGAATTTCATGCAACAAAAAGCTGGCGGCACTTCAGTCAAGAGTGAACATTGTCAGGTAAACCCAGACTCTGAATGCTGCTGGCCAGCTATGAGCTGCCTTTAGGCTATCAGTCTGTTTCTCTAGAAGGCACCATCGACTTGCTGAACTAGGACAGACTCTTAACTGCAATTTAAACGATTTTTTTTCTAATCTTAACGAGAAAGCTTGAATTTCCAGTTAAATGCGCACAAAGCATTTTCAAATACATTCATGACAGGCTAAATAATATATTTGAACAATGCTATATGTAAAGAAAACATCAAAAAAAATGCATAGAAAGTTACATGAGACTAATTATGTGTGAAATTGCTTTTTGCCACAAGGAGATGATATAGTGCATATAGTGCCCCCACAATTTATTTAGATACACTTAGTCATACTTTAAAATGCCTCTGTATTAGATGCAAAATATCATCTTACAGCATAAAGAGATGATGCACATGGCATGGAGCTTGTTCTCCGAGCGAATGTAGGATCTCATGCAGATCACAAAGATGTTGCCGAAGCATGTCGTTGCCGAGACAACCCAGACGAAGACACGCAGCACGATGTTGGCCAAAAGGTCCTCGAAAGATGAGATGCCATCAGTATTGGGCTTGCAGCTGCGGACGTGTGGCGCATAGCCACAATACTGAAACTTTTTAAAGTAGCTGAAAAGAAGAAAGAAAGAAGCACAAATGACAAACAATCATTTTGGTCCTATCATGACATGACTAAGGACACAAATATAGATTTGTTTATGCTCAAATATTTTAAAAACATCTCATCTGAACTATCTATATATGTCTGAAAAATTATAATAATTTAACAAGCAATTTCAATAAATTGTTCAATAAATAATAATTTCAACAGTAAGAATTAAACCGTAACACTTTACAATAAGGTCTTGTTTGTTAGCATTAATTAATGCATTACCTAACTTGAACTAACAATGAGCAATATAGTTTAATAGCTTTAATAATGTAATTCTTTGTATGCTGGGTTACCTCTCTCTTCCATCTCTCGCCTTCAAATGGTCCAAAATGTGGCTGCCCGTCTACTCACGGGTAGCCGCAAAAGAGACCACATCACACCAATTTTATGGTCCTTGCACTGGCTGCCAGTCCCATATCAAATCGACTACAAAATTATGTTATTTGTCTATAAAGCTCTCAACAACTTAGCTCCTAGGTATCTCTCCAATTTACTCACCACTTACAATCCGGCTAGGTCACTTAGATCCCAAGATGGCCATCTTTTGCGAATACCATAATAAATTTATTTTCTTTTTCAAAACGTTCATCTGTCCTTCTTTGCAATGCAAATAAAACGTTCATATGCTCAAGAATATTTTTATTTTTGTTGTCTGTAAGCTGATCAATATTTATTATTAAATGTGCTATGCAAATAAATCTGAAATTAAAATGTCTCTCATTTTGTAATACTGAGTTGAAAAAAAGATACACAGATAAATTATTACATACAGTAAATATTTAAAATAAGTAAATGTTCATTAAAAAAAAAATCATATTTTACAGATAATTAATTTTTTTTTTAGATTTTAGCGCAACATCAAATAAATACTAATAATTTAATTGTACACACAACATACACACCAATTTTATGGTCCTTGCACTGGCTGCCAGTCCCATATCAAATCGACTACAAAATTATGTTATTTGTCTATAAAGCTCTCAACAACTTAGCTCCTAGGTATCTCTCCAATTTACTCACCACTTACAATCCGGCTAGGTCACTTAGATCCCAAGATGGCCATCTTTTGCGAATACCATAATAAATTTATTTTCTTTTTCAAAACGTTCATCTGTCCTTCTTTGCAATGCAAATAAAACGTTCATATGCTCAAGAATATTTTTATTTTTGTTGTCTGTAAGCTGATCAATATTTATTATTAAATGTGCTATGCAAATAAATCTGAAATTAAAATGTCTCTCATTTTGTAATACTGAGTTGAAAAAAAGATACACAGATAAATTATTACATACAGTAAATATTTAAAAATAAGTAAATGTTCATTAAAAAAAAAATCATATTTTACAGATAATTAAATTTTTTTTTAGATTTTAGCGCAACATCAAATAAATACTAATAATTTAATTGTACACACAACATGTATCTATAAAAATCATTCTTATTTTCTAAAAGTAAATGGGTCGATCTATCTATCTTTCGATCGTTACTAAATTAATGAAATTGTAACAATCTTGAATCTCTTTTATTGTCCCCTCACTGCTTCAACTTGAACACATGAGAGTAGCCTAACTGCTGTGACGGTGTTTGGCTGTCACTCAACCTGTCCTTACTGAGAAAGGTGTTTATAAAGGGGAAGACAGAAGGAGGAGAGCATCACACTGAACAGAACTGACATAGTTCCAGAAACAGCAAGGAAGTCTTGAGTTGAATTTCACAGTCAACAGAAAAGCACACTCTCAGTCTCAATCTGAGAGGAAACATTGTAAATTACTTGCAAGATTCATAGAGTGTTCTCATTTTTCACAGTGTGTATTATATACCGCAAGATATGCAAAGCAGAAAGACACAATATTGGGTCTTCAAGTAGCTGAAAAGATTGAAAAGGGAATTGTAAACACTCCAATATATATTCCTGACATCTTTTTTTTCTTTATGTTTTCAGGTAAATCAGGAAAATTATTACCATGGACAATGAATAGAAAACAAAATATTAGAGACAATTTCTGGGATGAGAACTAAAGAGCTTGTCTTTATCTTTTTTTTAATGAGGATTTTTTTCCAGAGAGAAGACATAACTGCTATAATTTGTTTAATGTTTAAAAGTACAAATAATTATAGAGATGTTCAGTTGTCAGGCAATTCAAACAGAATATCTCAAACATCAATCTCAACACTTCATTATTCAGCATTTAGAAAACGATCACTCTCAATGGTGACGACTTCAGAAAATGGAGATTTGAATCAGATTTGAGAAATTGAGCAAGCAGAACTTAAATCATTTTGTTATCAAAACTTTCAAAAAGCAGCACTCACATGTGAGTCAGGTTCTTGAGAGGTTCAAACATCTTTCTGTGAATGTTCCCAATTTCGATTCCCTCAATGCTCCTGTGACACAAAAAGCTTTCTCTCAGGGGTTGCTCTTTAGAAAACCACCGTCATTAGCATTTCAGTATTCACTTTACAATGCTTTAGCCCTCTTTTCCCTTTTCCTTCTCTTACAAATATGCAGTTTTGTGCCCAAGATGCTCTCTGGAAGTCTTTGAAGTATGACCTAAAAGCAGATTGTTTTTCCTCTGCTGTGTAGAGGGGAAGACAATGTTCACGGCATGAAGTTTAGGTAGGACCATTGTGCTGTGCTCAAAGGGGCCCCGCAAACAGCACATTACTAAAATTGCAAGCTATTTTTGTGGTGTCTCATGTGAATATGTTTTTTTTTTAAACCAGAGAGGCATAAAATAAGGAAAGGGCTTGTGTGTGTATTAGTTTAGTCACAAAATTCACTGCAAAGTTATAAAATGCATAACATTTTTAAAACATACTTCACACTTCTTCCTTTATTTGTGCTTCAAAACCATGCACTGTACATCATTGTAGAAAAGTATAAAAAAGACTTACAGTGACTTTAACTTGTGCAGCTTGTTAAAATGGTCCACACGCAGGTCCATGAAGGGGTTATATGAAATATTCCTGCGGACAAATAGGAAGCAACTGATCTGAAATACATTTCTAATGTCAAAATTATAATGTATGATCTGTGTACAGCAGAGGCGTTTTGTCTGACAAGGCAGGGAAAAGCCACGTAAAAATGTTTAGATGAGAATAGAAATGACAGTATAGAAAACAAATTGTGAAATATAATCTGAAATACTGTGTAAAACATTAATCGAGTCAACCTCTCAGGTTAAATTAAAGGTGTATCTTTTTTTTGTTTGATGACAAACTATCTAATTTGTTGTTTATTAGTAATAGCCAACAACACAACACTACACAAAATATGGTTCTGTACAGTATTATTGTATTTATTATTTTTAGAAATGCTGAAACAAACAAACAAATAAATAAATAATATAAATTAAATCATAACCTACCATTCAAAATTTGAGCGCGGTAAGAATTCGTAATATACAGTATCTCTAATGCTCATCAAGGCTGCATTTATTTGATCATAAATACAGTAAAAACTAAAATATTGTGAAATATAATTACAATTTAAAATAACTGCTTTCTATTTTAGTATATTTTAAAATGTAATGTATTCCTGTGATGCAAAGCCACATTTTCGGCAGCCATTACTTCAGTCTTCAGTGTCACATGATCCTTCAGAAATGATTCAAATATGCTGATTTGCTGCTCAAGAAACATTTCTGATTTTGAAAACAGTTGAACAGTTATGTAAACTGGATGAGATTTTCATATGACTTGGGTTTCATGAATAGTATGTTAACTATCAAAAAACAAGAACAAACAAACAAAACTAGTTTCATTATAAAAATGTGTGATGAATGTTATTGCATAAGCCTTTAACCTGGACACCATATGACCATCAAAAGGAACTGGAATTAATTCATATTGGACTAAAAATAAATAACAATTTTGCAGAAGCCTACCACAGGCGGCAGACATTAGAAGCAGTTTGGAGTTGTTTGTAATGTGTATCTAACTGGATGACTCACAGCTGAAGCAGGTCTCCAAGATTGACAAAAAGATCAGGAGGGATCACTTCAATTCTGTTACTGGACAAATCCCTGTGGAGAGAGAAAATATTCATGCCTTTTGCATTCAAACAAGCATCTGCTGACAGAAGTGATGAGCAAACCAGTCTGATGCCAAACTCTTTGATGACTGACGTCCCCTAACTGGTCGAGCTGGATGAGAGTAAGACCAACACATACTTTGAAATTGATTTATGTAAACTGGATGAGATTTTCATATGACTTGGGTTTCATGAATAGTATGTTAACTATCAAAAAACAAGAACAAACAAACAAAACTAGTTTCATTATAAAAATGTGTGATGAATGTTATTGCATAAGCCTTTAACCTGGACACCATATGACCATCAAAAGGAACTGGAATTAATTCATATTGGACTAAAAATAAATAACAATTTTGCAGAAGCCTACCACAGGCGGCAGACATTAGAAGCAGTTTGGAGTTGTTTGTAATGTGTATCTAACTGGATGACTCACAGCTGAAGCAGGTCTCCAAGATTGACAAAAAGATCAGGAGGGATCACTTCAATTCTGTTACTAGACAAATCCCTGTGGAGAGAGAAAATATTCATGCCTTTTGCATTCAAACAAGCATCTGCTGACAGAAGTGATGAGCAAACCATTCTGATGCCAAACTCTTTGATGACTGACGTCCCCTAACTGGTCGAGCTGGATGAGAGTAAGACCAACACATACTTTGAAATTGAGAAGGAAATCCATGCAAGGAAGATTTATTTTATTTTATTGACTTATTTTTTGCTTAGCTTCTCCAAAATAGAACAGAAATGGGTCACAACTAAACTCCAGAGAACACTTTGTGGTGATTATTTTGGCAAACATTTATAATGGAATGGAATGCCTGAGAACTTACAGCTCGCCCAGTTTACGGAGCAGAGAGAAAGCCTGCTCGTGGATGTAACTAATGCGGTTCCGCTGGAGGACTCTGCAAATAAATAATAGATAAAAATAAATGAATAAATAAAGAAATTTTTTATCTTGGTGGACAGAAACACAGCGGCCGCTTCAGAGGAATGGAATGTGTAGGAAATACCCAGGGGTGTTTTGTTTATTTTTGTTTCTCAGCAAGTATCGATATGTAATTATTTTGAATTTATTTTGAATTATTTTCTAATTATTTAATTACATTGGAATTATTTGTAATTTTTGGTGATTTGTTGTAATATTTATTTGTAATACTATTTAATAAAAACAAAGCAATAACGGCCACCAAAATATTAATTGTATGTACATTTTCATCACTGATTTTATTTGTACTCAATCTTGAGCATTCAACTAATATACTACACAGACAGCTAACAGCTAGATCAAAACAGACAGAAATAATGAATAGACTTTTTTGAAGAAAAAGCACCTTAGCTACCTCAATATGCTTCCTCAGATTTGATGTTGAACTTGATCCAGAAATTGATTAAAGTTATAACTGAAAATGAACACATGTGCTTGATGTGCAAAAACAAACATCATTGGTTCCCGCATGTCAAGCATGTGCATTTGAGCTTCTGTTTACCTTACTAAATGTGTGCAAGATGGAAGAGAATACAATGCAAATATACTGTATATATAGAATGAATACTTTGAGTAAAATGAGTAAAAAGTACTGTTTTTTCTTCAGAAATGTAATCAATCCCCCAAAATAATACTTAAGTACAGTAATCAAGTGGAATTACACAAGTATTTTACACCCCTGGAAATACACAGGAGTAAACAACAATGTTGATGGTGAGGAGTACAAAAACAAAAAACTATTTAGAAGTTAAATGGGGCTTGACCTTTAATCAACAGAGTCACTGTTGCATATAATCAGTGAAGTTATAATAATTATAATAATATAGTATTATGTTAATATCTGAAGTCCAAACACATCACTATTCTGCTTAATATGTAACTATTTCCATGTTACTTGAAGTTTGAATGAACAAAAGCTGTTAGGTTTATTGCTCTGATTTCTTCAGAAATAGTGATTAAAAATGAAAAGCGAGAACCGGGGAGATGAGAATGGTTTCCCTAAAAATATGTTTGACATAATTTTTGGTGTTTTTGGCAGGAAGGACCTCAACTGTGCATAATGAGAGTAAGGTACAACTTGGCGCCCCTTAAATATTAGTATGAGAAAATATGATTATGATTTATTTTATATTATGAAAAACGATACGCTAATAAACAATTCTGCTCATCTGGCATATTTCTAAACATTGGTGGGGGAAAGTAATGAACAGTGAAACCGAAAAAAAATGCTGAGCATTGGATTCAATCCATTCCAATTCTAAAACAATTTTAGCGTTTAAAATTTACAAATATTCAATCCACAATTCATTTCCAGATACTTTATAGCCCTAATATATTTAGATGGATTGTGGATTAAATATACGTATGTAAATGTCTGTGAAAGTTAGATTTGATTGGCTCTGCGCCATTACTTTCCCCCGCTGAAGATCACATGTGACTGAAGCAGATGAATACTGAATATTGATTAAGCAAAAGAAATGGTTAAAGTTTGTTTTTAAAAAACATATAAATATAAAGGCAGCTAGAGGAGTAAAGGGCTCCCTATTTACCTATTTCAGAACATACATAAAATAAGCACTTTGTGAACCTTTTTTATTATTATTATTTTATCAAGTATTTTATTTATTTTTTTTTAAATTAGAATTTTTAGAAGCTGTTTCTGTTAAGAAAATAAAATTGAAAGGGTCTTTTACCTCAATGGAACCCGATGACCCGTTGTACCCTTATTTTTTCTTTTAAATACTGGAATACATTCGTAAAGCCCATTGGGGTCATCTGATAGTTGAATGCACAGCGGGAAGAGAGGAAGAGAGGATTGAGCAGCTGTGACTGAAGGGTGGGGATACTCACAACACTGTTAGCATGTTACAGGACCTGAAGGTCACATTTCCCACAGTCTCGATCTTATTTCCCTCAACATCTCTGCAAACAGAAATAGAAAAAAGAGGGTCTTTAAAAACTGTAGAAAAAAATTAAATACAAGTATAATTCAAAGGTCTCTCTATAAGCTTTCCAACCATGTAAATAAAATAATAGCAAAAGTATTTTTATCATGACAATGTTGTATTCAAACTTACAGCCAATTTAATCGTGGCATCTCCAGGCAAATATCATCAAGCTCTGCGAGAGCATTGTTCAACAACACTCTGAAACACACACAAGCAAAGGCTTTATAAGACAAAGTAGCAGTGTAGCACATTTTGAAACAAGAATAAATAAATAAATATATAAAAAGTTTTAAAGAACAGCTCCTATGCATTTGTTAAAATATAAGATTTACATTTGAAAGACGGAAGATGAGTCACCGAAATAGCAACAGGCTGAAACTCACAGAAGCACAAGGGAGCGCAAACCAGAGAAGGTCAAAGAGGAGATGTGATGAATATTGTTGTTCTCCAGAATCCTTCAGGATGAAAAAAACAAACTCATTAAAAAAACACTGAAGCCTCACAAACTGCTTTGTCCAATATTTGTTCAGGGGACACTAACTTATGCATAAGGGCTATGAATCATAATTCAATGGCATTCAATTAGATGTGTGATAGAAGTTCAATCACTCGGGTTTCTTTAGAGCAGATCCTCAGTGACTGCTAATGACTGCTAAAGAAATCACTCCTGATATCACAGAAATAATATTGGTTTTGTGCTGTCTAGATGGTCAAAACTCAGCAACAGAGAAGGTTTATTGACTGACACATGCCATTGCAGTTATTTGATTTAAAGCACAAAAAAAAGCACTGAATGAAAAAATCCATCTTCCTTTAGCTGACATTTCTAAAGCAAATGGGAGAATGACAGAAAAAAAAACGAAAAAAAAACACTTACAGCCATTCTAGTTTGTGCAAATCCTGGAATACATCAGGAAGTAGGGTAGTGATTCGATTATAACTGAGATACCTGAGAAAATAAGATATTACAGATGTCTGTGTGTAGTCAAAAGCATTTTGCCCATAGAACAAAAGCAAACAAGCAAACTAAAGTTTCTATCATTCACTGTAAGCCCATTCGTCAGTCTCAGTAGAAGAGGCTGGTTAAAGTTTTACCGTATTTGTAGAGACAATAGAAATGTCTGCCAACTCACAGTCTTGTCAGATTGTAAAGGCCTCTGAAAGCATGTGGGTGCACTGCTTTAATTCGGTTGTGCTGGAGATACCTTACAGGAAGCATTAAAAAGCAGAAGGAGAGAGAGAAATAACACAAAATGTTACTGTATAATTATGTTCCCAAGGAGTGGAAGAGCTTTGAACACAGTTCTGCTCTTGCTTTTTATACAAGCCTATATTTAGAAGTGGGCCTTTAGAAATGAAAAAGTTAGGTAGCACTTATATATTGATTGATTTATTTGCCTATTTAAAAAAAAAAATCTTGAAAGATCAAAAAATACAGCAAAACTGTAATATTGTCAAATATTATTACAATCTTAAGGAACATCATTTATTTGAAATACACACACACACACATATGTATATATATATGTCATATATCATAAATTGGGACTAGACCATCATAGAAACTTGACATTCTCAAGTTTTTAAATTAAGCAAACTCCTTAGCAACTGTATAACACAGCACTAAAAATTACTTAGAACACTTAGAGCAATCATATAGCAACACCCCAGCTTCACAGTGCTGAAATCTGCATCAAGAAAAGAAAAGAAAAAGGGCACCATTTTAATGTAAATCTAGTTGCATTTACTCTTCTATTACTCTTCTTAGTCATCCTCCCCTTATCAGACTTGTATTAACCTAAACAATCCAAAGCTTCCACAACTTCCACAAAAGATGCATTGTGGTCTCTATTCCCACATCCTTTTTTTTTTCTTGATGAGATTACATTTGTTCGTACAATGAAGCCTCCATCTGACACCAGATCAAGTATGGTTCTTGGGCGAGGACAAAAATATGGGGCTGATTCTGTTTAAGTGAGCTGGCACTCCTGAACGAGAAATCAGACAATAACACACACACACACATATGTATATATATATCATAAATTGGGACTAGACCATCATAGAAACTTGACATTCTCAAGTTTTTAAATTAAGCAAACTCCTTAGCAACTGTATAACACAGCACTAAAAATTACTTAGAACACTTAGAGCAATCATATAGCAACACCCCAGCTTCACAGTGCTGAAATCTGCATCAAGAAAAGAAAAGAAAAAGGGCACCATTTTAATGTAAATCTAGTTGCATTTACTCTTCTATTACTCTTCTTAGTCATCCTCCCCTTATCAGACTTGTATTAACCTAAACAATCCAAAGCTTCCACAACTTCCACAAAAGATGCATTGTGGTCTCTATTCCCACATCCTTTTTTTTTTCTTGATGAGATTACATTTGTTCGTACAATGAAGCCTCCATCTGACACCAGATCAAGTATGGTTCTTGGGCGAGGACAAAAATATGGGGCTGATTCTGTTTAAGTGAGCTGGCACTCCTGAACGAGAAACCAGACAATACTCACAACCAACAAGCATGTCAGATTAAGACAGGCCAGACAAATTCTACAGCTGGAGAAAGAAAAACATTGAGCCATTTTTGTCAGGTTAAAAAAAGAGAACACTCTCAAGTAGGGCTGGGTGATATAGCTAAAATATTTTTCAAAGATATAATGTTTCATATCGTTCGGTATCGATAATTATTGACATTTTTATAACTTTTTTTAAAACAAAGAGCAATAGATTTTTTTAATTTTTATTTAACTACTGTATTTTTTAATTAACCCAATTTATTGAGACATACAACAAATATTTTTTTGTTTTAACAATCAAACACAAAATAAAAATTAAACAAATATCTAATTTCTAATGTTTTATATGCAGATCAAATAGGTCTTAAGGAAACTTTGTCTTGTCTCCCGAGGCCACAGGAGGGCGCAATGAGCAAAATGCAGCGCATTTAAATTGTCAACGTAAGGAAGCAACTCTATAAAAAACGAGCATTATGTCTAAATTAACTCATAAAAATAAAATATAATTTCGTAAATTGCATAAACAATTATGAACAAAACAGCATGTATTTATGCATTGCTTAATCCAAAGACCAGAAGCGCCATTCACACAGATTGCATTTAAAAACATATGATGCGCAGTGAAAAGGAATAAACTTCCACAAATTCGTGATGTGTTTTCTAAAAGTTTAAACTGTTTTAACTTTGCATGGCTACATCTCTTGTGTGAGACGCGAGTGCAGCAGTCATATTTTTCCATCTAAAAAATGCGCTGAATATGCATCTGTGTGAATGGCTTGGTTTCGGGTTTAACCTAATCAAGATCTTCTCCGCATTGAGCTTCTATATTTCTGTAATATTTTGAATGAATAGCGCAGCAATGGCGCGTTTCATGGGCTAGACTACCAAAACATTAAAATGCAACAACGTCACTTACATCATCATCACCACTGATGACGCTCCCTGATGCACACCTAACATTCAAATTCAAATGTTTATTTTAAATTCAACATATTTATTCACAATCTCCTCATCACAGGCAGGCACAGCACTCAATTCAGCATATGTTCATGTTTGTGTGGCTGTCTGTATCACTCATAGTACATGCCTACATCGTGCACTATATTGAAAAATTTTTCTATTGATATCGAAGAAGGTGTACCTTCTTTTATCGCCCAGGCCTACTCTCAAGTTCTTCAGTTTTGAGTGTGTTTGGCTCAGCTCCTGTGAAGAGCACTGAATGTTTTATTCCACAGGGATT